CCATAGTGTGGTGGGGCCCATGGGGGTGGGTATGAAACAAGGCTTTCACAGATAAGTGACCAAAGAAATCATGTTCTAAGAGTTATTTACGATTATCAACCAAGCTTATTTTTAAAGGAATAATAGGTCCATTGATTATGCAATGTTGACGAATGCTAGAGTAACTGGCACCTTGTGTAGTTAATATTAAAGTACATTACCTTATAGCCAAACGCGTATTAGTTTGTCCAATATCACTGCTGGTTACTAAGAAATGTCTAATTGAAAACCGCTGGTCTTTGAGTCCAAAAATCAGTTGTTTACAGTTTCAAACCGCTGCCGGCGAAGCGGGTGTGATACAGATTTATAGTGCACCGGACATTTTCGCACGCATGCTCGGCCGTATGCAATGCTATAATCAGTGATTTCGTAAACATGGATGCTCGTGATAAGGAACTTTTTGTCAGGGCTGTCCACGTGCGTCCGTGATTAGTACGTGTATTTTACTCTATTTCCATGTTTAGTCCGTGGCCGCGGTTACACCGCTGACACCTCCGTTTCATCTGGCGTCCAAAACATACAGGCCGCACAAATGTTTACGTCATCGCTTGACTCCTGGATGACATTTACGGCACGTAAATGATACGTTGATACAACATCAACAACCGATTTCAAGTCTTGTTTGTAATGTAACCAGCCGTGATATTGGACAAACTAATACGCGTTTGGCTATATATAAAGGTAATGTACTTATTAACTACACAAGGTGCCAGTTACTCTAGCATTCGTCAACATTGCATAATCAATGGACCAATTATTCCTTTAATTTTGCTTCAAAATCTAGGGAGCAGCTGCCCCCCCCCCCCCCCCACCCCAGAGGCTACAGCCCTGCGTAGGTCAAATAGAGACCTCGGGAAATACTCATTCAGGAATCGTATAGTACAACCATGTCCATGGAACAATCCAAGTGTGAAAACACTGTGTCACTGTGTCACAGTGTGTGCTCACTAAACCTAAAACCATTAGAGGCTCGACTGGACAGACAGTGGCAGAGTGAGAGCCTTTATTTCGAATTCGACTACCGACACCACGCTTGTCCACCGGGAGCATGCATAAAGAAGGACTCTGAGCCGACTATAGTCTAGAGGCCCAGGGCCAGGCCTGTGTACTAAAATGTATTGTATCCTGAGACCCTGAGAGTAACATCCCTCGTCTCGGGGTAATCGGGTCGCAATATTATGCTGAGTTGTGCGGCTCCTGTACGCGGGCTATAGTCCTAGAGGCTAGAGCTAGGGGTAATCTAGCTCTAGTACTATAGCCCGCGTACAGTTTCCGCAGGGCTATAGAACATTCTATTACGAATGCTCGGGACCATCTTACTCCAGCCAGTCAGTGGGAAATACATAGTTTGCTAGCACTGCGCACTGGATGTTACAAACTTAAGTACATGGCTAAAGGCGGCGCACTGCATTTTGGGAAGCGGAACTCCCTTCTCCCCCTCCTTCTCTACCAGCTTCTCCCCCTCCTTCTCCCCTCCTTCTCCCCTCCTCCTCCCCTCTACTCGAAGATAAGGTATAGAGTGTATAGCTGTACGCTTTAGATGTCTTATGCATGTGATCATACATTTGAAAATCTTCAATCATAATAATCATTGTTTGTGCACGCTCTGTTTTAGGTGTTTACTCATTCGTTTTGCCCAATCTCAAGATTGGGTTTGGCCCAATAGTGAATGTGGCTGATAAATTCCAAGTTGTGCAACTATTCAGAGTTTAGGGTCCACAACATAGATACAAATATTATTCTTAGATCATGAGTATCATTAGCATTGATGATGTTCTCAGCTGTCTATAATGACATGATGTATTGTGTAGATGATGCAAGGGCGGATTTAGGGGGGTGGACCGGGTGGACCGGTCCACCCCCTTGAAAAATCAAGATGCCCTCAAAAATCATAAGCGAAAATTTTGTTGACCAACTAAATTTTTTTACAAGATGAAATTTCTTATTTTCCAAAAGCAACCAAAATATAGTTGTTGATTTCTGATGAGTTTTTGATACCCCCCTCATTTCATACCCCCTGTAGCCTGACTCATTTAGTCAATGTCTCGGTCAGTAATCAGTTTCCGCATCAAACTGCATGCAGCGCCCCCTTCCCACACGCAGGATTGAGCCTATGAGCGAGAGCGCCATCTGTCGTGGAGTTTGTTTCCGCATTCCGCATCCTGGTCTGGTCCGCATTCCGTGTCTGCTTTTTACCTATTCACCTATGCTTTTATATATAATATAAAAAAATGCCCAGCAAAGATCGAGTTCGGAAGCGAAAGCTTCAAGAAACTATCAAGGCAGCATCAAAGACTCAATTACTAGTTTGTTCAGGTAAGATTGTGTTTTTTTACAAGAGAAATAAGCAGTGAAATGTGTCAATTTTTAATGAAATATAGGTCCTGTGTGAAAACCTGATTTACTTACTAAGAATTACAAACTAAAACTTTTAGTTTGAAAGGCACCTAGCCTATGATGCAGAATGATATTTTAAATACGGCACATATAAATCCTATCTCATCAAAAATTTAAAAAAGAGGGCACCTTGACGGAGAAAAACGTTTCAAGCCCCGGCCCAAGGGCAGCTTTAAAACCCGATCTTTTTTTTAAAAGAGGGCACCTTGACGGAGAAAAATTGTTGAAATAGGGCACATGAAATCCCGATCTCGCCAAAAATCATAAAAAAGAGGGCACTTTGACGGAGAAAAATATTTCAAAAAGGGCAGCATTTTAAAAAAGAGGGCACCTTGACGGAGAAATATTATTCTAAAGCCAAAGGGCACCTAAAAAACTCGATCTTGTCACAAATTTTTAAAAGAGGGCACCCTGACGGAAATTTTTTTTGAAATAGGGCACCCAATTAATCTCGCCAAAAATCTTAAAAAAGAGGGCATCTTGACGGAGAAAATGTTTCTAAAAGGGCACATGAAAACCCGATCCCCGTCACAATTAAATCTTGAAAATGGGCACCTCTGTATATATTTGAAAGGGCACCAAATTTAGGGTTGTGAAAAGACATTGATAAATATATATATTTTGGCAGCATACAGCCGCAGGCACGGCAGTCATCCCAAGTTCGCTGATCCCGTTGTTGAAAATTCTGTTGCTGAATACGACGTTACTTTCGAAACTGGTGATGATACCGTAGGTGTAAATTCTGTTGCTGATACTTCGCTCATCGATACTGCTGATGATCCTGTTGCTGAAACTTCAATTCTTGAAACTGCTGATCCAATAAACACAGCGGAGGAAACCATCTATGAAGTTGTCGTTGAAAATGATACTGCTGATGCTACCAAAATTAATACAGTTATCATATGATCATCAAATCTTTTCTTATTTTGGATTGGGATCCTCATTCTATTAATTAAAACACTGACAAAAACTAAATCAAGATAATGTCAATATGCATGGGAAATGAAGGAAAAGGCCACTCCGCAACTTAAAAATTCAGAAATGTTCTGGGGGAGGACCCCCAGACCCCCCTTCACTGCTTCGCGCGTTCGCGCTCGCCCTTGCTTGGATACAGGGGTGCCCTAAATAAGGTGAAATATGATAAATGCCCTCCCTCAAAAATTATGGTCCCACCCCTTTGAAAAATCCTGTATCCGCCCTTGTGATGTATAACTAGTTGTAAACACACTCATAGTCATACTACATATACCAAGAGCGGATAATACCTAGAGTGTATAACGGAAAAAACGGGGAAATAGTGCTATTTCACGACGATACATTATTCTACTTTGCCTGTGAGTCTAGAATAATTTCATGCTATTAGCATTAAGCAGAATTCCTTGCTCTCTACAACAAGACCAACCGCCTTTCTCAATACGATACGCTAGGCCTGAGATATCGGTCCTAAACCTCCCCTCTCACATGCCAAACGCCGCCTCGTATCCCACTCTCTGCCACCATCCTACACGCGGTAAGCATTTTGGCTATCGGTTTCCGTCACCACTTGGAGCGCTGATAATTGATGTCATATGCCCAAATTTGGTACTGTTACTACACTGAGTAACTGAGCTGCGTTGTAAAGAACTTGAATGGAGCCGGCTCCATCATGACGGGCATTAGCCGTGCTAGGAAAGATAATGGAAGATAAGGGGCATAGGCGATGCCCCCATGTCACCTATGATAACCGAAGCACCGTCCATTCATAAATTTATCAGCGGAAATAACCGAACTTTCACGACTCAACGCTTAGCCGCGTGTAGGATGGTGGCAGAAGTGGATACGAGGGGGCGTTTGGCATGTGGGAGGGGAGGTTTAGGAGCCGATATCCTCCGCCCTAGGAGTATCGTATGACAAGCGGTTGTCTTGTTTTTAGAGAGCAAAGAAATTCTGGCTTAATGCAATACCATGAAATTATTCTAGACTCGCAGGCAAAGTAGAATAATGTAGTCGTGAAATAGCACTATTTCCCCGTTTTTCCGTTGTACACTCTAGGTATTATCCAGCTCTTGCTATTACTAGTATTAGCAGGGCTGCCAACATTGGTGATAGGTGAGAGTGAGATCGCACTGCGAGCGAAGCGACCGGGGGGGGGAGTGGGTGGGTGTGGAGGGGGGTTT